TCAAATGTTTACTGTTAACTTTTAATTGTTACCTACCTAGGCCATGTCTGAGTCAATGATCAACTCTGTAACCAATTGTCAGTCCTGTGAATCATCAAGTCCCACCAAATTTACCTGTGCAGATTCTGTACCGGATCCTCAGCTGCTGTAAACTAATGTACTTCCACATCAGCTTACACTAGTTGAGGATTTTGCCTTCTATGCTTCTTAAACTGTGTGCTTTTGAATACCTTAGTATAGCAAAGCAAAAATACTCAGCACTGACACAAAAGTGGAAGGCAACACAACAAAGGCACACATGCACTAGTTCATCAGATGGCTGAAATGTGAGATGCTCTAAGCTATGATGGTCTTTATGCATTATTGGTGGTAAAATATTTATAATTCTTGTACATTTTAGAAAATATTAAACAAAAGCTATTGAAAGATGTGTGAGGTAATATCTTTTATTAGACAAACTTCTGTTAGTGAAAGACAAGCTTTTGAGCTACACTGAGTTCTCCAGGGCTGGTCTCTGAAGAAGAGCTCTGTGTAGCTTGAAAGTTTGTCTCTTTCACCAACAGCAGTTGGTCCAATAAAATATATTACCTCATGCACCTTGTCTTTCTAACATCCTGGGGCCACCATGACTACAACAAAATGGGCCTCCAGTTTGCCCGTCACTGCCATGCTTCTTGTATCAGTAGGACATCAACCTCCCAAAAATTGGAATACTAGTCGACTGTAATCAAGTACTGCTTTTTCTTGAAGGTAAATCTATCCTCTCCCATCTTTTCCCAAGATTGGATGGACAGATCATGTAGAACAGGGTCTCTTTCTGCTGGCAGTTATCACGTATAGTCGTGTATTCATTCCCAGCCAGTAAACACACTCTCAATCCTGTCTAAAACAGCTGTCAATGCCCAGGTATGAGGTGTGTATTTTTTGCATGACATCCTTTTGTAATGAGGCAGGGACAACAGCTTTCTGTCCTCGAAATATGATTCTATCCTGCACACTCAGCTCATCTTTCATTTGAAAAAATGTTTCTGCTCCTACCGGTACTTGGTTTTGTTTTCTGGTCACCCTGCTAGTATTGCTCTCATGACTGTCTGTACAGTAGTTGAATGTCCTTTTCAGTAGCCTCTTTGATTTCCATCAGCTTCACTGTTGAAACTGACGATAGTGCAGTGTAATGATGGTGTGAATGTCCTGATCTCTTTCCCACAGCTTGTTGATGCTGGTTATATATGCCCTGCTCAGGAGGTGTCAGCTAATACCACCAATTGTTCAGGACAATATCTGATCTCTATGGGTAGCATTGGAGGGACATCAATATTGTCACCCTCAGAGCACCGATGTCAGATGGCAAAGATGTCCCCAGTATGTAACAGTAAAACTCTGCTGGCTCTACCAGCTCAATACACCTCACACACACTGCTGGCATGATATTTATTTAAAAGGTGTCTTATAATGTATCACTTGAAAACTAATAACACTCTGGTCAGCAATATCACTGCAACATGTATGTAATGATGGTCTATGTGAAATTAGGGATATGCTCTAATACTATGTTTTGGAGACTGTAAACAGGCAAAGAAGGCAAAACAGTTTTTTCCAGACAAAGGGGAAGGCAAAGACCACTTTGACTCAGGTGTAAACCGAGCCAGGTGTGACCAGACACAGAAAATAGGCTATTCATTTGTATTGGAGACTTCAGGATGATCATTTGCATCAGGACAATCATTTGCAATGTAAATCACAGGAGACTGCGGTATTAACATGGAGTCAGATCCCTGGTGGGAAGAGTGAACTGAGCTGAGTCCCCAGGAGAGCGTCCTGATTTTGAAGTCAAAGAAAAACTTTGGGCATATAAGGAACTTTGGGGCTCCATCTTCTTAGGGAACAAAGAAATCAGCTCTTTGATTTTGTGATGGCTGGATCCTGGCTGAAACAGCCAGTCATGCTGGAGAATGCTAATGACTTGGTGTGAGAAAGAAGTTATGTTAGACAAAGCTATATCTTGCTATAATTGTTATAGGCTCTGGAAAGTGTGTTTGATGCTGGTGACCAGGTGCCAGCTCATGTGCTTCTAAGCCCCCTGGGTCTAGGTAGTGACTGATCATTGTTCCTAGCTCTAAGGGTCTCAGGCTGACTCCCAGCTGAAGGCCCCATGCCTGACACCTTTGTTGGGCAGGGGGACCATGCAGTCCAGCCAGCTAGACCTCGTACCGATGCATCAGCTTTCCTAAGCCCCCCAGTTGATTAAAGTCATTCTCCCAGAGTGATGGAAAGTGAGTCAAGTTGTTTTCAATAATTAATGTAATAAATGGGTGCAAGAAAACCAGACAAAGAAACTAAATTAGTCCAAACAAAAAGACACATTGATATAATTCAAGGACTATGTTGAAATCATGCTTAATAAAAACAGAAGATGTGGAACCAGAAATTAATGAACTAAAATTGGTGTGTCAAATACGAGGCCTAATTGATGGAAAAAATGATAAGGAATGGGCTTTTCAAACCATCACTCCCATTTTTGGGTCCTTACAGAAAGAGACTTTGGGGGGTTTATTCAGAAGAACACATGGAGACTACCAGAGCGAGTTTCACCCTCAGGGCTGCCACCCCCACCATTTCCTGGGCCCCAGACCTTCTTCTTCTTAATCCAGAAATTTGTCCTGAGCAGACTAGGCTAGAAAGAGGGACCCAGATGACTTCACCACCCCTATCAGCTCCCGCTGAATCCCAAACACCACCTGAAATGAATTGAGATCAGACTTTAACAGCAGCAGCAACAACAGCTTCAGCTCATCTCAGCTAACTTCCCTTTTACCCAAAAGGAGAGTTATTACCGTCTTTCATACCATCTAAGGCCTGGTCTACACTGGGGGGGGCGGGCGGGGAAATCGATCTAAGATACGCAACTTCAGCTATGAGAATAGCGTAGCTGAAGTTGACGTATCTTAGGTCAACTTACCTGGCCGTCCTCACAGTGCAGGGTTGATGACCGCCACTCCCCTGTCGACTCCGCTTCCGCCTCTCACTGCGGTGGAGTACAGGAGTCGACGGCAGAGCGATCGGGGATTGATTTATCGTGTCTACACTAGACTAGATGCGATAAATCGATCCCTGATAGATCGATCACTACCCTCCAATCTGGGTAGTGTAGACGTACCCTAAGAGACTGTCCAACAAGGGGGCTTTTTCCTTCTAAAATTCTCTGAGCAGTGCAGTTAAGCCAACTTAAGTCCCTGTGCAGACAGTGGTAGGCTGACAGAAGAATTCTTCTGAAGGCCTAGCTACTCCCTCTCAGGGGGATGGATTACCTACACCGACAGGAGAATCCCTTCTGTCAGCATAGATAGTGTCTACACTGAAGTGCTGTTGCATTTTAAGTGTAGATAACACCTAAGTAAATTAGATGTAAGTCTGACAAATTTGAGATCTGACTTCTATTCCCAGCAGTGCTTTATACAATGTCTGAGCTATTTTCATTATAAAAGCTGTACAGTGTTAATTCCCTGCCATTGAACTTGAGCTATGAAGTTTAGTCAGTTGTAATTGCTATGAGTGAGGTGCGTACAAATACTCAAAGAAGTCAGATGAGTATTTTCCTTAAATATTTTCCTTTGTTGGTTTAATTTAAAGTAGCTGCAATTCTGACAAAGCATTCTTACTAGGTAGCAAATAAGCTTCCCCCAACATCCCATTTTCTGGACAGTAAAAAATGGATAATGCTCTTCAAGTCAGGTATGTAGTCGCATGTAAATGTGTCTTGAGACAAATATGGATGTTTTGTCCCAGAATATTTTGTATGCTCCTGCCTGTTATTCTTTTTTGAGTTAATTGTCTCAAAAGCTGCAGCACTCTGTTTTACTTGTAAGATGATGCATAACACTGTCTCAGAAATAAAGAGGATGCCTTTATCAGAAAAGGGCACTCTAACTTCAAAAGTACGGCCTAGAAAGCAGCCAAAAGGTTCTATCCCTCAGAGCTCATCTGCCGAGGCATTGACACAGATTATCTCAGATGAAAGAAAACAATAGATGTATGGTTATCGGTGGTTCAAGAAATTGCTTTATTGGTGGGAGAAAAGGCTGACTAGGCAGTATATTGGCAGACATTTGGACTTCATAAGGATAATATGTAAGCTAATTGTTCCATTTAGACACCATAATGGAAGTGACAAAAGTGAAAATAGAAATGTGTTCAGATAACTTTTTAAGTATATGGGCATAATAATTTTTGCAACCTGGCTCTAAGGGTTTGAATTGTTCAGGTCATGGGACCCATAATGAAATAATCAGCAAGACAATTCAGACACAGACTACCAGACTAGTGAAAAAAGATGGGGGGGGTATTTGGGGTGATGATGGATGAAACTGCTGACATTAATCATCAAGAACAAGAGTTCAATGTGTGTTTGATTTGCAAATAATGAATGGAAGGTAGAAAAAGTATTGTCTGTAGTCATAGTAACTGAGCCAAAAGCAGCTGCACTTTGCAATGCCCAGATCAATGTTCTTGGAAGGCCAAGATTATGATAGAATCATAGAAATATAGGGCTGGAAGGGAGAATGAGGGGTCATCTAATCCTTCTCCCCATGCTGAGGCAGGACCAAGTATACCCAGACCATCCCTGACAGGTGTTTGTCTAACTTATTCTTAAAACCCTCTAGTGACGGGAATGCCACAGTCTCCCTTACTAACCTATTTCAGTAATTAAGTATCCTTATAGTTAGAAAGCTTTTCCTAATATCAAACCTCAATCTCCCTGCAGATTACGATGATTACTTCTTGTCCTACCTTCAGTGGATATAAAGAACATTAGACCATGGTTCTCTATATAACAGCCCCTTAACAGCTGAAGACTGTTATAAGCTCCCACCTCAGTCTTCTCTTCTGAAGACTGAAAATATCCAGATTTTTTAACCTTTCCTCATTGGTCAGGTTTTTGATTTTTATTTTTTAATAATTTTTGTTGCTCTCCATTGGACTTTCTCCAATTTGTCCACATCTTTGCTAAAGTGTGTTGCCCAGAACTGGACACAATATTCCATCTGAGGCCTCTCAAGTGCTGAGTAGAGTGAAATAATTACTTCTTACATATGACACCCTTTGATATACCCCAGAATGATGATAGCCTTTCTTGCAACTGCATCACATTGTGCTGCAATGAAAGAACAATGTGCAACTTTTTAAAAGTGCATATACAGCATGGAAAATAAGAACACATAACAAATGTATATAACAGTTGCACAGATTTGGATTGTTTTCCCCTACTCTGTCCTTAATTTGTTGATTGGCTTAGCTGCCACCCAGTTCCCCCACAAACAAATGGAACTGACAGTACTGGTGCCTATTCATCTCCCTGTGAGGGCCTGACAATATCCTGAATAAACTTTATTGAATTAAGTTAAACCTTATTGAATTATGTTTAATACCTTTGGGGTCCATTGTATTAAAATGTAATTGTGTATGTGTTGTTGTATGTACCTTCTCTAGTAAGAGGGGGGTACTATGTAATTCCTCCAGTATCAACGCTTTGAAATGACTTCCCACCCCCAGAGAGGTGTGCATATATTAGTTCAAACTGGATTCTCCAGGGACCAACAGATAAAGAAAGGATATTTGGATAAATAGCATGGTATTAAACTGGTTCAGGGCCACCTTCTTGATCCAGGAAATGGACAAGACCTCTGGTCCACGGATGGCCCTAATCCTTAGAGAAGGGTTGGAAGGATTTGCCCTACAGAGGCCGATAAGACTGGGTGCTTGTTCTAAGCTGTGGCTATGATGAACTTGTGACCACAAAAAAAACCTCTTGAGAGGGGTTTGGAAGGACTGTTCCAGCCAGAGCCCAGGTTAGGGTTGGAGTGATCTCTGGTAGGCTTATTAGCATGTAGGTCTTTTGTTGTTTTTAATATGTTGTCTCTGGAGAGCTTTTACCTTAATAAAATAGGCTTGTATAGAAAGAACTGTGTGGTATTTATAACTGTTGACAATCCCTCTGTTATCAGTTTCTGAAGAGAAAGCAAGCGAGTGTGCTTGCATAGCTTGTCTCTCTGCTGGAAATGACACGATGAAGTCAGGGAATTGTGCAGGCTGGAAATACCCTGGCCAGAAGGGAGTGAGTGCCAAGAAAGGTAACAGTTGAGGAGTTGGAAGTCTAGAGGGGGTGCCCTCGCTGGCCCACCAAGGGGAAACACAGGTGCAGTTGCCCTGAACTGTGATACATCCGGACTACTTTACTTGCATGTTGTATCCTGCTCTGCATCTTTTTGTTGGTTTCTTGTTTATTATAGATTGTAAGCCGCTTAGGGTATGGACTATGTCTTATGATGTACAGTGCCTAGCACATTCGAGTCCCAATCTTAATTTTAGGGTCGCCAGTAACCTCCACAGATCAGATAAATAATAATAATTTTATCTTCTTATCTTTTACATCCAGCGAGCTTCAATGAAGCTCAGTGAAGCTACTCGATGAATTAAATGGAGTTCCTCCTGATTTGTGCTGGTGTAAGTGAGTGAAGGGACAAGGGCGTTTCCCCTTATTCTAGGTACGTTGTTCCATGTTTATAGTTAAAATGGTTTTGAAATCACCTTAGCAAAAGGACCATGTGGCTTTTATTAGCCTTTTGGACCATTTGTATTTGCTGGAATCACTTTTTAAAAAAAAATCAGCTTTGGATAAAAGAGAGGTCCCATCCAAAATTACTTATTGGAAATCCCAGAAAAAACATGTAATGAATGGTAAGCCATTTCAAGACAATAAGATGCAGCGGGCATTGGATCAGGTACAGTAGCAGTACAGTACAGGTGCTGCTCAATGTAGACTGTATAGAAGAATGACTAAAATGTAATCTTGCTCAGATCTCTAGAGGCTAGCTGTAACTTGCACAATTCCCCATTGTGGATCATTATATACAATTGCCTTGAGTCTGCTGGTTATATCTGCTTAATGTGAATACAGTTTTAGCAAGCTGACTATTATTAAGAACAGGTTTTAATGGTGTTAGTTGAGCATTAGAAAGACAAGGTGGGTGAGCTAATATCTTTTATTGGACCAACTTATGCTGGCGAAAGAGACAAGCTTTAGAGCTACACAGATCTCTTCTTTAGGCTAGTAGAGCATGACATTTCTACAAATTTGGATACTTAATGCACTCACAGATCCATTCAAACCCTGAAAATCTGACACTAAATAATATTTGAATATACAAAGAGCTTAAATGTAGAAAATTCATTGACAAGTATTTCAGTCAGTTTCATTTCCTGCTTTCATCCATTAGACTTGATTTACTACTGCAGGTTAGGGTGCAAATTACACTTGCAGTAGTAAATCAAGAGGGGGATTTACCCTCCTGGGAAAGATGCTGATGGTACTTTCCCTAATACAGGGAAATATAGTAAGTGGTATTTTCCCTAGTTACTCTTTTCTTGAATACAATGGACTAAATTCCTTCCTGGTATAACTCTCCATTGGTATCAGTGTGGTTGCGCCTGGGAAGAATTTGATCTAAATTCTATAATAACTGGAAAATCTCTTGTATCAGAGGGGTAGCCGTGTTAGTCTGAATCTGTAAAAAGCAACAGAGGGTCCTGTGGCACCTTTAAGACTAACAGAAGTATTGGGAACATAAGCTTTCGTGGGTAAGAACCTCACTTCTTCAGATGCAAGAGATGGAAAATCTCTGACTCAGTGGATTTTCATGCTAAAGGTTAAGCCTGTTTTATTTACTCACTAATTGAGAAAAACATCAGCTGCAACCCACAGATGAATTGTTCTTGCAGTTCCGGTTTCAAAAAGTTGGAAGTCTGGATCAGAAAGAGCACAGCTGGGTGGAGGATCCTCACACAGAAGAACTAGGGACCACTCAATTTCTAAGCCAGGTAAAATGGGTACAGCCATCTTTGTTATTATTATTAAGGATATTACAAGATATTTGGGTAGGTTTAGCCTATCGCTCATAGATTCATAGAATGTAAGGCCAGAAGGGACCATCAGATCATCTAATCTGAGCTCCTGTATATCACAGGCAATACAATTTCACCCTGTTACTCCTGTATTAAGCCCAAGAACTTGTATGACTAAAGCAAAATTTCCAGAAAGGCATCCAGTTTTGATATGAAGACATCAAGATATGGAGAATCCACCATTTCCCTTGGTAGTTAATTACAAACCTTGACCTGGCTCAGGCTTCCAGCCTGGGGATGGAGCCTTGGGGGCCAAAGAGCTGCAGCTGGGCCATGGTAAGAGCTGCCCTGGCAGCTGTGGGGAGCTGCGGACCCTCCACCTGCCCTGGGTGGGGAGCCGGGGCGGGGGGGACATGGGCTGGGGGCTGCTCTTGGGCCATTTCACTCCCTTCAGGATATGAACAATTCCAATTGATTTAAACGGGAATTATTTGTATCCTGAGGGGGAGAATTGAACCCCAGGTGAATATGTAAGAGTGTTCTGATCTCTGCTGTCACAAATATACATAAGATTGCATCTCTCTCCTGTCTCTTTTAAAATAATAATTGTGATTAGATCTATCGACAGATGGCTGCTACTTTATTTAAAAAAATCTGGCTCCCATTACAAACCGATGGAATAGTGAGACTGAGTGTGTGCCAGCAGGCTGACTGCGCACCAGAACACCCTCCAGCCAGAATATTCCAGTCCCCCTTTTTTTCCCCAGGACTTCAATATTAATTCTTCAGAATAGCACAATGTCAATGTATCAGACATGTCCTTTTCCCTTTGACCTAGTCAGTCATATATAAACTGGTCTCTATCACCTGACCTAGGAACTCCCGCGGGAGTCTGCTCCTCCCTACAGTTCAACTGAGCTACTTGCTGGTTTTTATGAGGACCAGGTGATCTGGACAACAGGCAAACATAGCTAGGGTTTAAGGCAAAACAAGACGACAAAAATCAGATGACAGGAAGAGTAGAGTAGAATTTCGCAATATTCTTTTTAGCTGTTTGGTCTCATAAATAGCTTTGTTTTTATTTCAAACATATAAAATGGTTTAATTATTTTTCTTTTGTATAGGCTTCGTATCTAATAAGTTGCAACCAAATGGCAGAGAAATCTATCTTTTGTGTTTGATGACCACAAGTAGAATTTGGAAAAGAGTTTATTTAAAATCTTAGGCTCCAAATAAGAGAAATCATTTAAAAGTCCTGGATTCCCATTTCCTGTTCCTCATCTCCTATGGTACACACTGTTGGAAGCTTTACATGGCATATAACTTATATTAATACTTATCACTGGACAGATAAATGCATGTGCACAGAGCTAAGACTACTAGAACAAACAGGAAGTGGACACAGATATAGGGAAGAAAGGACGCAAGGATTGCTGCAATTGTCCAGAAGGATGGGTTTTTACTCCCTCTTCGGATACCCCTTATGGCACAAGAAATGCAAGTCCTTAGCACTATCTAGGCACAAATTTAAGAATAAAGAGCCAGGGTGTTATTCTGGGCTCTACTATGGCTCCATACGCTACTGTGGTAGTGCATATGGGGCTGTAAAGGGCCTGTAGCAAGCAAATCGAGAGTTACCCCAGGGCAGACATTGCATACGGCAGCTGCATTGTGCTCTAAGCAGCCTTTCCCGTAAGCTCCAGTGCTGGGCCCTGCCAACGTTTGTTGGGGCCACAACACTAGGGTAGTACTGTTGCTCCTAGGCTGATTAAGTTACATTGTGGGCCTAGAGCAGGCCAGAATTGGACGTGCATATATCCACCTTTGCTGCCTCTTCCCTTTGGGCAGGAAAGTTCATGCTGTGTCCCTAAGAGCTGCAGCAGAAAACTGCACTCCCAGCTAGTAAGTAAACTGGCGGTCTCCAATGGTAGGGTCTGACATAGTGTATGGCTGGAGTTGGGGTGAGGGTGTGAAAACAGGTTGCAAGGGAGAACGGAATGATGGTAGGGACAGAATATAGTGGAACTGAGGCTGGAAGCCCATGGAGTGGGGGACTGAAGCTGACAAGAGAGCTAGAAAAACCACAAAGCTAGGCAGGAGCTCTAGAGTCTGACATGGAGAGGCATGGGTTTGATCAAAGAGTTGCAGAACCGAGTGAATTACTGCACCCCTTTGATGTTCAGATGAGCGAGGGCTCCAGGAGGGCCCAACACAGAGAAGACCCCAGTTGGCATTTGCCCACTATTAAATCTGTTCCTGCCAGTACTCCATCTTTTCTTTCTCTTTGAGTGAGACCCACTGTCTTTTCAATTGCCACGGAAATCTCTGGTCCCATGTTCCTTTTCTTATTAAAAAAACAATGCTACCCTCCCACTCCCAAATATTTTCCTGCTATACATTTGGACTCTAGAAAAGAACTGTTCAAAGTATGGATGCAGGGAGTGTGTGATTTTGAAATTGAAACACAGGACTAGGAATCAGGAGAACTGGAGTTCTAGTTCTGTGATGAATTTCCTGTTTGACCTTGGGTAAACCACAACTTCCTGAGGCCTCACTTCACCCAGCTTCTCATCTTAATCTTTTTACTATTTTTGTTGTCTTATATGTTTTTTATCTTACATTATCATTGTATCTTTTATAACGTACCCTTTACCTTGGTAGCTGAGTCTGAGAAGCAATTGTTTACTCATGTTGCGGATATTATCATGCATTGATGGAACTTATTGATGTACAATATGATGTTGAAACCCTGAATTCCAACATTAAGATTCCTAAAAGATAAGGAAACAGGAGAAGCACATGAAAATAGGAACTGTTTTGTAAGTTTTAGGACAGGTTGCAAAACTGCTGATGTGGAAGGAGAGAAGTGCAGGAACCCAAGAACAATGTAGGAAGAGAATCAAGAGGAAAGACAAATGCAGAGAAAATTCAGAAGACTAGAAAACCGAGAAGCAGAAGGATATAGTACAGAGTGAGAAAAGGGACCAGAAGATAGGCTGAACAGAGATAACATACAGAACAGGACCAAGGAGTGTAAGTGGTTAGAGTAGACATAAGTTACAGGACAGACAATAATCAAGGGTCAGAGAAAAACTATGAAAGGAATCTGGAGGAGAAGCTACAGTAAAAGGATATGTATTTGTGGGTGGAGGCTCTACCCTGTGTTCTAGTTAATCATTCTAAAAATGTAAATTAAACAATATATATTTTAACATTGCTTTCAGATCTGATACTATTTGGCTTCAGTAGTCCCCTGCCAAATAAGCACAATTGGGATGGAGAAAGAGTTCTGCTGCAACACAGTCTCCTGTCACAGTAGTGCTGTATTTGCGCTTCTGGAGAAAGAGGAATTGTAATTCTTAGTAATTGTAATTATTGGTGTAGGAGGTGCAGTGATAGCTGTTGTGATTTACTTAAGAAGACTGATTTAGAAAGTTGTGAAATAGTATTTCAGGTTCCAGAGGTACACATACACAACAACCAGACAGAGAATATGTAGGATTATCCATGTTTCCAGGCACTCAATTATACTGTGTGCTGCTATTATGCTATTCTCTCCATCCCCTATAAAATGAAGGAGTCAGACTGCTTAGTAAAAGAGCCTAGAACTCAGAAATTCTTTAATACAGTCTTCTAGTACCCCAACAAGTGTCCCAGTCCTACAGCACAGTACACACTATCAAGTGTTCCCTAGATGTGACAATGTGCATGAGTGGGATTTTTTTTAAGAGAGAGAAGCTTAAAATGATTCACTGAAACCCATTTGCAAAATAATAATAATCATCACATCCTTTGTCATGAAAGCCAGAGACTTTAAATCCTGGTCCAAATCCTTAGCTGGTGAAGCCTCTATTGACTACATATTTGCCCCAGTTGAGCGTCTGGCCCTCAGAAACCACACAAAGCTCTCAAAGCTGTGGGCGGACATAACTAGGCTGTTGCAATCGCTGTAACAAATGATCACGTAAACCACAGCCAGCCACACAGCGGAGGGCCAGGGGAGCCATCTCCTGCGGCTGGGGAGCGATTGACAATTTAGCTCCAGGGAACGAAGCGCGACTCCCCGCCCCAGCTGACATTTAAAAGCAACCCAAAGCCCCGACCGTTCCGCTCCAGCTCGAGCACTTTATTGAATTAAAGAAAAGGTTTTAACGAAATCAGCCAAGCAAGAGGGAGCCGGGAAGCGGTGTGGGGCAGGAAGGGAGGCGACGCCAGAGGGGCAGCCCCGAGGAGGGGATCAAGGCGCAAGGCGGCCAGGGGACCAGGACAAGCTTCCCAGCAGCATGGGAGAGGCCGGAGGCTCAGGGGAGCAGCAGGGGCGAGGGCAGGCAGAGCCGCACTGGGGGAGGGCGGCTGTCGGGGTCAGAGCAGCGAGGGTGGAGAGAGAGGAAGGCGGGGCAGAGCCGTTGGTCTCGAGGGCGGCGCGCGGGCCCGGCGTCCGGCCGTTGCTGTGACAGTTACCAGCAGAACGCCCGGTGCCCGTTGCCGGGGAGGGAGCGAGACTCGGCTCCGGCGCCCCGCCTGCTCCACGTGGCCTGCGGGGCGGAGCAGGCGGCGCGGCCCGGGCCAGCACCAGCACCACCCATTGAGATCCGGCGGGGCAGAGCGGAGTGTGACCGCCCCGGGGCGTCGCCCTTCCCCGGCTCCGCCCCCACCCCCACTAGCGGGGACTATGCGGAGATGGTCGTGCAAACCCGAGGCAGACACAAAGAGTCGCCGCTCAAGCCCCTCGGCGCTCAGCCGCCCCCGCCCCAAGCCGCTGGGGCGCCCCAGCCCGGAGCGAGCCCCAGGAGCGGCCGCGGGCTGCAGCAAAAGCAGCCGGGCAGGCAGCTGTCCTGCGGGGCCGGCGCCATGCGGAAGGGAGGAACCGGGAGGAAAGGGGCCAAGAGCGAGCCCCAGAAACCCAGCGCCCCCCTGGCCCAGAGGGTGAGGGAATTGCTGGGCCTGGGCCAAGAGGGGTCGCTCCGGGGCTGGAGACACGGGCTCCAAGGTGAGCGGGACCGCGGGGGGCTGTGCACAAAGCCGCTTCCATCTTGTGCCCCCCTTGGGAAGGGGGGTTAACCGGATTTGCTCCCCTCAGGGAGCATCAGCCCCGAGGCCCCTCTCCCAGCCACGTCTCCGTGCTCCTGTCCCCAGCACGCTGGGGTGCTGCTGGGCCGAGGCTGCCACAGGCACACGCAGCCCCCCTCCCTGGCAGGCAGCGCAGCCCCTGGGGCAGGAGAGGCTTTAACACCCCCCATGCCCTGCTCGGGGAGCGCTCCCCGCTGTCCGAAGGCCGCTGGCAGGTTGGAAACCAATTTGCCTGGAAATTGTGTTTCGGGGTAACTCTCTAATTGAAAAAGTAGGGGGGGGGATGTTTCTTTCTATTCCGCCCCCTGTATATTTAACTGGAGTTGACAGCGGTCAGATGCGTGGGGTCAGTTTCACTGTTCCAACTCTGTAAGAGTCAATTGCTCAAGGAGAAAGGACCCTGAAAGTAGCAGCCAGGAAGCAGGAGAAAAAAACCTTATAATGTTGAAGGTTTTTATAAAACCAATACAGGACATTACACACCATTTATACAGCATCAGAAACTACATCTTTAAAACAATGTTAATTTTATTTAGCTTCATTACTATTGGGATAATCTACCTGGCACTTGACAGGTGCCTTGATAAAAGGATTGGGGGATTGATTGGTGCAAAAGAAAAAAAAGTCAAAACTTTATGCTACAAAGTTGGACAATTCAAATGTAAATCTATTTTGTTAAGTACTCTCTCTCTTGTCCAAAATGTCTTTAAAAACACTTCTCATGAACTGTGTAGAAATAAAATATTTATTGTAGTCACCTTGATTTTTGTTTTTAAATATGTTTATTCACTTTGTGCCTAGTTTATCTCAGCTGTTTTGAAGTCAAGTCAAGGTGGCTATAGAATATTAATGGTGCAGCCTGCGAACAGTCTCTTTAAATGAAATTGCTTTTAATTGTTTGAAGTTTAAATCTAAATACTGCTAAGACAGTTATTTTCTTTTTACAGTATTTATTGAAGAAAAAGGGGCCTTTATCATGAGAGCAGATAGCAAGATATGGTTCACTTTTATACTAGGTAAGCAGACAAACATAACAATTCTTAAGGTCTCACTGCTTTATAAAAATGTACTATATCTGAGTTTGTCTGGAATGTAATTGAAGGGGGAAAAAAACCCTGATGCTTCTTTGCATGATAGTTATCATTCCTGTTGCATTGTGTGTGTATGTGTCTCTGGTGCCCGTGCACCACTCACTCACTCTCACAAATAAATATCTAGGATGGGTTTTTCAATAATGGTTAGTGTTGACTTAAATGAGAGCACAGTTAAGCCAACAATAAAATCCTTTATGCAAGCTAAAATGCAAATTTCAAAACAAATGTATTAGTATTCGACTGATACTTGTTACTTTTTATTAGGTGTGCATATATGTGTGAACATGTGCATGTGTGTGTACACTTCTGATTTTTCATAATTCCTTAGAAATGCATCTGGAACTTGTAATAAATAACTAATTATTCACTCAGTTAAATCTTTTTATTCTTAACATTACAAACATCCTCTTCCCCTAACAACTTATGAAAATTATTACTCTGTTAGTGTAGGAGTTCAGAATGTAACTTTGGAAAAGGAGGGGGAAATAGCCCCATATTTTTCAATTTTTTAAATTTATAGGGTAGTAACGCCATTGTCCCAGGACACTTACAGGAGAAATTAATAACTGGCTGTGATTAATGGCCTAAGATGGAAGTTTAGGGTCATCAGCTTTCTTCTGGTCAGTCATTATTTTCCAAAACATGCCCTAGCTTGTGACCTTTATTGCTTCAATACCGTAATCTCTGTAACACTTTGTTAGTTGTCATTATTTGCTTAAGAGCACTTAACCATATGTGGATGTAATATCAAATTTGTTATATTTTTGAGGATGAGAGGAAGATGATTCCTTGATATATTATGCTCATGAGATAAAAATTAAATTTATTGCCACACTACTGGAAATTATTGTAAAATATCTGTTTGCCATGTTAAATGAAAATGCTGGATCTTAAAGTTAAAAAAAAGTAAAATAAAATCAACATATCAAATTTATCTGTTAAATATCTTTGAAGTTATTTGGTGTTAAAATAAGATTAATATATTGTAAAATTTTGGGTGATATTGCTGATAGTGGTATTTGATCTTACTGATATCTCCTAAGGGCTTTTCTACACTACCACGTGGGGCGATCAAAGATACACAACTTCAGCTACGTGAATAAAGTAGCTGAAGTCGACATACTTAGATCTACTTACCGCGGTGTCCTCACTGTGGTAAGTCGACAGTTGACACTCTCCCGTTAACGCCGCTTGCGCTCCTCATTCTGGTGGGGTACTGGAGTCGACGGTAGAGCACTCAGCGGTCGATTTATTGCATCTATAGTAGACGTGATAAATTGACCCCCGCTGGATCGATCGCTGCCCGCTGATCTGGCGGGTAGTGTAGACAAGCCCTAAGCCTGGCTAGATTCTAGAAGAAATTGTATTAGAGAAATAACATTTAAATAGCAAATTTCTTCCTATTACGAAGTAATTGATAAGTAAATTGTCAATAAATTGTTTCATTCACCAATGACATGCAGCATCCTCTCAGTCTGAAACATCACTGTTGTTTAAAAGGCACAGCAACACTAAACAACCAGTTTCAGGCAGGATTTGACTACTTTGTTCAGCTGAAATTTCAGAGGGGATTTAGGTAGGCAGAATATAATTTCCAGATCTGAAGTTTGGCCGTGACACCAGGGCTAACAAGTGAATGCTCCAGGTATAAATGTCATGCCCATTTATTCCTACAGAATATAAATCCATACTAATGTAAATATGTGAGGTCTACTTCAAAATCTGATTAAAAATGTGAACATTTGACAAACATTTGACAGTTTTGTTATTGGTTTCATCTTGTAATCCTAATCTTGAAAGGGCCAGACTTTCAAAAGTACTAAACACCGACTACTAGAGTGAGATTTTTCACAAGAGCTCAGCTCCAATTTAGGCAGCTAAATGAAGTTGCAGGACTTCTAAAAGTGCTCAGCATCCTGCAGCTTCAATTGTTCTTTCTTTGGAAAATCTGGTCATTTCATTTAGATGCTTCATTAGGAGCTGAACTCTTGGAAAACCTCACCCAGTTTAATTTTCAATAAATCTATATAGTTAGCCTGAAAAATAGTAAACTGTTATTCTTTTGCCATAATTAAGTTTCAAGTCAGAATATAACAAATTATAATTTGATTTATATTCCTTCTTGAATTCTTGAAAGTATGTCATTTACCAGTAAATTTTGACTATTGTATGAAGAAAGCTCAGCCTCTGTTCTGCTGGCAGATCTGTGCCATGTGTTGTGACTTAAGAATGGCTTCCCTTTTCAGTAGACCCCATCATTTAGACCCCATCATTTTATGTTTTCCAATGTGCATTATTTTGCCTTTATCAACATTGAATTTCATATGCCATTTTGTTGCCCAGTCACTCAGTTTTGTGTGATCCTTTTGTAACTCCTCACAGTCTGCTTTGGACTCAACTATATTGAATAGTTTTTGTATTATCTGCACATTTTTGCCACCTCACTGTTTACCCACTTTCCCATATTTATGAATATGTTGAATAGGACTGGTCCCAGTACAGACCCCTGGGGGACTCCACTATTTACCTCTCTCCACTCCAAAAACTGACCATTTTATTCCTACTCTTTGTTTTCTATCTTTTAAGTGGGCTGTAGTCCACGAAAGCTTATGCTCTAATAAATTTATTAGTCTCTAAGGTGCCACAAGTACTCCTGTATCTTTTAACCAGTTACTGATCCATCTTATCCCCTGACAGCTTACTTTGCTTCAGAGCCTTTGGTGAAGGATCTTGTCAAAGGCTTTCTGAAAATCCCCGCACACTGTATCCAGTGGATCACCCTTGTCCATATGCTTGTTGACCCACTCAAATAATTCTAGAAGATTGGTGGGGCACGATTTCTCTTTACAAAAACCATGTTGACTGTTCACCAACAAATAGCATTCATCTATGTGTCTGATAGTTCTGTTCTTTACTATAGTTTGCCCGGTACTGAAGTTAGGCATACCGGCCTGTAATGGCCCACCGACCCTCCACCCTCTCAGTTCCTTCTTACCGCCGGTGACAGCTATCTGGAACTTTGCTCGCTCTTGCAGCAAGCCTAGCAGTGTCTCCTCTAAGTGTATATAGTTGTTTCCTCTCTCCTAGTTTAGAGTTAGTGTTAGTTGTAGATAGTTAATAGTTGTTGGGGGGCTTCCCCCCAACATACTCGTCGCCCCGCTGGGGCATGCCTGGGTCCCCAGGGTTTAAACTCTGCACAGACTGCGGGAAGTTTATGCCGAAGAGTGACCCTCACTCCTCCTGCTTGAGGTGCCTCGGGGAGAGCCACCAAAGAGACTGGTGCAGTATCTGCAGGGGATTCCGTCCCAGGACTCTTAAGGACAGAGAGCAGAGACTCAGAGTGCTCCTGATGGCCACACTTGGACCCCGAGCCTGCCGATCCGGCTCCCAGTGCCTCATCCTTGGCGTGCAGCGCTCCAGCACCGCTAACAAGACAGGAGGCCCAGTCTAAGTCCTCTAAGTCCCGGCACCGGAGAGAATCGGGACATAGAAAACCGGCCTCCATGTGGCAAAGATCACTATCTCCGGTGCCCGCAAAAAAGAAGAGGCCGGTGAGGGGCAGATCACCCCACCAGGACCTTAAAAGGCCGGCGGTGTCCACGAGTGCGGTGGGACAAGCTGAGCCACAACCGCATCCTCCCAAGGTCCTGTTGACTTCTGCCCCGGGGGTGGCGGGGTGCGGTCGAGTCCGGACTGGTCTAGATCCCCGGACCTCAGCGAGGTCTCAGTGTGTCTCCCATTGACTCCGGAGGTGCTTGAGGCAGCCTCTGACTTATTAAGCCTCCCGGTGCCGGCCTCCCCGCGCCAGTGGAAAGAGCCGCCAGACATGGCCTGACCCCGATCCAATCAAGAGGCAAGCCGGCCATGATGTCACCCTAGTCCCCGCCCCTGCAGCGTCACGGAATCTACTCATTGTCATAATTTTGTTTCAGAATCTAAGCTTTCTTGCGATCATGGTTGAGGAGAAAACATTTTAAGGTTAACTGAATATACAGTAATGCAGTGTTGTCTTACTGAGTTTGCAAACAGACTGATGTAGTAGCTTGTGGAGTTTTGAACTGCCCCATACCTCTCAGCATAGTTAACTCTGAAACATACAGTTGGTGATTTAAATATTAGCTGTTACGTTCCTGACGCACCTTATGTTTAGCTTCCCTTGCAATCAAAACTTCGAGTTTTCCACTAGAATGCGTGTAAACATTGTCAGTACAAAAATCTGAGACAAGCTGAAACTGCAAAATTGAATTTAATTCAAAAATAACACAGGGACTACTAGACTACCCTTGTATGTAATTTTATCCCAGAAGTATTTGTAAAAATATTCTAAATTTAAATATTTCTAAATTTAAAGTGTAGTGTAAATTATATGACCAAACATCTACGTTTTTATTAAAAGCTGTATGTAACGTTATAGTCAGAGAAATGTTTTTTTAGCTGCATTTTGTTTGCTGGGGAAGGAATGTTTTTCTGTGCCATTTACATTGCAGATTTTCATAGTAATTGTAAGTAACTTTTTTCTTTAACATAATACATAGACATTGTGCTTGTTTTTTCCTTTAGTCATATAGACTTTGTTTTGCTTCTAGTTTTTATTCAATGCAAGGTATCTTGTGACATACAAGATGCTAACTGTAGAATATATTACTTTTTAAAAATCTGACTAGTATTGCTGTCTTAGGCCTGGTCTACACTAACCCCCCAATTCGAACGTGAATAACGTAGCTGAAGTCGACATACCTTAGTTCGAACTTACCGCGGTCCAGACACGGCAGGCAGGCTCCCCCGTTGACTCCGCATACTCCTCGCGCCGAGCAGGATTACCGGAGTAGACGGGGAGCACTTCTGGGTTCGATTTATCACGTCCAGACAAGACGCGATAAATCGAACCCAGAAGTTCGATTGCCTGCCGCTGAACCAGCGCGTAAGTATAGACAAGCCCTTAGGTGTATTAAAGTGTACTGTGTCAGCAAAGTTAGATGTGACATCTGGCTTTTAACGGCTTATTATTTTTCTTTCTTGCCATTTGAAATAAATGGCTTGAATTCTAATTGGTCCATTTGAATGATCCATATAGTATGTATTGAAGTATTATGTATTAATACTGTCCATTTAATTCCAGATGTTTAAGTGTTGGCCAAAAAAGTTCATCTCAAAAGCAGCTCAGGTTACTCCTATTCTTTCCTTCTCCCAGAAGCTGAGTTGAGCACCGTCTGCAGTGTGCAAGCTCCAAATAACTGTTCTGTAATTATTTTAAAGAACATTGTTTAAGTTTAAATGTTTGATAATGAAGACACTCACCTCCTTTTTTTTATTTTAATTTTTTTATTTAAACAGCTGCTTTTGCAGGAGTTTTACACTGGTAAGATTATTTTTATTGGCTTAAGGTTGATATAAGTAATTAGAAATATTACTATGTTTTTTTTTAAAAAAAGGGAAGTATCATATATATGGATGGATGGATAAGCTACTGGGGTTACTAATTTATCCATTATCTTCATATCTTTCCTTTCAGTGAAAGTTGTCGTCTTTAACATAGAATTGTTCTGTTTTTGTGATTCTGGACTTGAAAGATTTCCCCCTAAATATTTTGCTCAAGGGCAAAATCTACTGTCTAGGTGAAAAATGCCTATATGGCCGTGACCCTCGAAGCCATGCATATTTTCACTGGCACTCCTTCCTATCATCCAGTCAGTTCTGAGGTCCCCCAAATAAATCCTTTCTGTTCCCCATTTAATTCTGCCCATTAATAAATGCACTAATTCTGTATCCCATTTTGCCTCTTTTTCAGGGCTTCTCTACTTATGCTCGCTCTCTTGTGTGCACAGTAGGCTCTTGGCCTCCCAGTTAGTACCTGTTCTTCCTAAGACCTCAGCTCCAGTCCCACTCCCCACTTTTTAAAGGTGCAATATATGTGAAAGGATCAGTGACTGCTTTTCTATGTGTCTGTGGAAAAAAACTGTAGCAACTCCAGCCATTCTGCTCCCCTAGCCCTTCTATTTCCTTCCTCCCCCCCCCAAAAAAACCCCCCCCACAAAAAAACCCAACCCACCAAAACCTATAACGAACCCCCCCAAACTAACAGTATCTAGTGCTGTTTCTCTTGCAACCCCCCTCCTCCTAATAAAGGGATAGAGGCACTTGGCTGTATGTCTGTTCTGCTCCTTTCTCCTCCTCTCTCTTCCAGAGAAGGAGCCAACCCTACTCCACATGCTTGCAGAAGCAAAATATATATTTCCTCTGGCAAGTGTTCCCCTTCCCCCAAAGACCATTCACTGATTTGGTGGGCATACATCAGAATTTCCTTCCCTGAAGTCAGATTTGTTAGTTCTAAGAGCACTTAGCTTTTGATCCCCCGTATCTCTTGCACTTTATTTATTATAAAATATTATTTATATATGTATTTGATTTTTTTTTTAAAAAATCCCTTTTTAATGGTATTGCAAGAGACACTTGTAGATTCATGTTCTCTTTATTTTAGTTAACTCACTTAAAATGGATAGTGTGAAGAGAGAGAGAGTGGAAAGTAATCATCAGTATGACACCAGATTGAATTACAGTAGCTGCATTAGGTCTGCTGTGTTTTTTGATGTGAAAATATTTACTAAAGGTTTCCGTATGTATAAATCAGTACTGGTTTCAAAACCTGAAAATTTAAACTGAATAGGTTTTGTTCATGCAGGTGTCATATTACAACTCTTTTTGAAAATGACCGTCATTTTTCTCACCTCTCGACGCTGGAAAGAGAGATGGCTTTTCGCACTGAAATGGTTAGATCTTTTTTCTTCTAAATAATTTAAATAAAAAGTGATACTATAGTCTTGAAGAGCTTGTCTGCAATAATTGATTGTATAACTTCCAAAATTCCACAGAAATAAAGCATTTGTATGTTATTTTTTCTAAGTAACATATATTTATATGTTAATTTTGAGGTACCAATTTGTATATAAATTGAGTTCCCTTTCAAATAGGTTTCAAAAATATTTTATTTTAAACATATGATATTGTGACCTAATATAACTTTATAAAGTTATTAATTAATGAAGTACACAGTTAAAAAGTGAACATTTACCCCCATATACTAGTTTCTCTGTCGCTTTGTTAATGAAACGTATATCCTAACTGCATGGGATATTTTTAACTACCTTTCTCTATTTCATGTTTCTTTTGAGACAAAATGGAAGTTCTCTGGGTGTTTTGGACAACTGAGTTTCAAAATGGTATTAAAATGAAGAAGCTTGGAAAATTGTGTAGCTTTATCTTAGTCTTATAATAATGAATCCACTTAAAAGAAGGAATCTTATATAGGACAATACAAATAGTACTACCTGATTAATTTTTGCTAAATTATGCATCCTTTTAGGGCCTTTATTATTCCTATTTCAAGACGATTATTGAAGCACCATCATTTTGGAATGGAATGTGGATGATTATGAACGATAAACTAACTGAATATCCTCTGGTGATTAATACGTTAAAAAGGTTCAATCTTTATCCAGAGGTGAGCCATATTTTGAAAGGAGTACCTGTTTCTGTGAAAACTCTGGTTAATGTCCTAGTGCTTTATTTAGAAAGTAAAGATTGTGCTGAAAAGGGTGATACTGCTATAGGGCAGAAAGAAATAAACATTTAATTATATTGTAACAGAATTTAAGTATTGTATGTTAACTTCTTTGTTTAAATTAGGTAGCTATTGTATGTTTCTATGATTTGGTTTACACTGGTGTGCGCCCCCTCACTGATTTCAAGCAGGTATCGGTCAATCAAACTGTAGACATTTTTCACACCTTAATTTTCCACTCTTCAGTTGCAATCTGTTTTCATTCTTCCCTTGCTTTCTTGTTTTTCTTCCCTCTACTGAAGACTGGCAGGTTGGTGATGCTGCTTAACCTCAGGGTAACCTGTTTCTTTCACATCACCAACAGTTTCTTAAGAAACCGTTTAGGAGGCACTGTTGGTGCATGTGAACAACATATTTCGAAGGACTACAGTTACTGTAGAGTAAATAACAATTTTTTACTGGCTTGATTCAGAGATCACTAAATGAGGATTTTTGGCCGGTGGTATGCAGGAGATTAGATTAGAATCTGATCTTCTGGGGGCGGGGGAGGAGAGCATGGAGCCAGGTAGGGAGCTTGCAGACCCCGCCAGCTCCCCCTCTCCCAGCACCAGTGGAGGTCCCAGGCTGAGCACCACCGCCTGCCCACCCCGCCCCAGCACCAGTGGGGGTCCCGGGCCGAGCATCACTGCCCGCCCCAGTACCAGCGGGGGTCCTGGGCCACGTGCCACCACCCCCAAGTTTTAGTCAGGGGTATATAGTAAAAGTCATGGACAGGTCATGGGCCGTGAATTTTTGTTTACTGCCCGTTACCTGTCCGTGACTTTTACTAAAAATACCAGTGACTAAAACATAGCCTTAATCATTAGCTATGTTATCTAAAGAAGCCTTTGACAAGAATATTGTTAGTGTTTAGTACCAGATACCTGAGTAGCTGTGTATAATATTTAAAACTAGTATAGCCCTTGAATGGACTCAAGAGTTTATTCCTGATAAAGGTCACTTAGAATTTCTTGTATTGATGAAACAGCAGGGTGTGTCAGACAAAATTTTCAAAGGAGCCTAACTAAGATACTTACCTCATCAAGGGTGTTTGAGAATCTCCTCTGTAGTATTTATTGAGTGTGCAGCGGCACTCAGTAACATTAGTTGATAACTCACTTCATGATAAAAGTATATCAGTGGTTCTTTAAGGTCTGGTCGACCATTTAGTCCTTTGAGCGACATTAGAGTTTGTAGCTAAGGAATCTTATCCCCACAAGTCTCAGGTTTCTGCAAGGAGGGCTGAAAAAGGGAAACGTGCTTTTTAAGAATTTAAGTTGTTTTGTTTTTTCTGGTGCATACAAAAGAGATAGGATTTCAGCACAGGTTCCCCTTTTCTATCTCCTCTAAAATCAATGGCAGAACTCCCCTTGACTTCAGTGGGGCCAGGATTCATCCCTGAAGTGCAACTTTCTTCGAACTACCTCTTATGTTAGGTCACAGTTCTCATTGCTTGGAACTTTAATTATGAGTGTGCCTGACATTCTTGAACTTCAGAATTTGCTTTTCCTCTAGTCAGTTTAGATGTTCTTTGTGATGGCAATTGGATGATTAATGGTCACTTGTGATTAAAGCACAGCTCTCACTGATGAATAGCCTAGGTTCTATTCTCAGTTCAGCCAGACATTCTATCTTGCCTTAGATTTTCTATCTGTAAAATGGGGATAATACTATTTCCTATCTCTCAGGAGTGTTGAGGCTTAATTCATTCTTGGTTGTAAAATGCATTAAGATCTTCAAATGGAAGGCAGCACTATGGAAGTGTGGTATTATGGCAAATTCTGAGCTTCTTAATCAGATGAATTCCAATTCTCCCTATAGGAATTATCCTGAATAAGAAGAGAGTAAAAACTGAATATAGAACTCAGGATTTGTCCATTACTATTACTATTATTCTGGCCCTGCCAAGAGGTAGCCTTATTGTGTTCTCCTTCTTACTTAGTGATCCATAAAGAACATTATGCAATTCTTAATGTCTGTGTGATTATTTTCCCTAAAGAGATGTCTCAGTTTCATGTTAACCATCTCTCTGTGTCAGATATCTAAAGGTGTCCTGGTCAGATGAATTCAATCTTATATTAGACGGGTATTAGAGTAGGGTATTTGGATACTTTGTTGTTTGACAGCTCGTTCTATGCATGTTTTCCCAACTTTGTGGGCAAAATTTGGGACCACCTGAGACACATCAGCTATGCAAAGTTGGCCCATAGAGTTCCTTCCATAAAATGTTCAAATATATCAATTCCTACATGGTTCTGAATACAGTGGTTCTCAACCAGAGGTATGTGTACCCCTGGGGGTATGCAAAGGTCTTCCAGGGGGTACATCAAGTCATCTAGATCTTTGCCTATGTTTAGTACAGGCTACATAGAAAGCACCAGCGAAGTCAGTATAAACTAAAATGTCATACAGACAATGACTTGTTTATACTGCTCTATATACTGTGCACTGAAATGTAAGTACAGTATTTATATTCCAATTGGTTTTTATAGTGTTATGGTACAAATGAGAAAGTAAACAGTTATTCAGCAATAGTGTGCTGTGACACTTGTGTATTTTTATGTCTGATTTTGTAAGCAAGTATTTTTAATTGACGTGAAACTTGGGGGTATGCAAGACAAATCAGACTCCTGAAAGGGGTACAGTAGTCTGGAAAAGTTGAGAACCACTGCCTTAGGTTGATGAGTATATAGCCTTCTGATGTTAAGCAGGTAAAATGTTAACACTAATGCTGAGCAATAGAGCTATGTTGGGTATTCCAGGTGAATCATCCCCAAAATGCTTAGTTTTGTAGAAATTAAAAATATTGAGCCTTGGAAACACTTTCATGGCATTTTCTAGTTCCTGTCTGTTTGAAAGGCTGCCTTAGGTATTGAGATAATCTCTAATTCTAAGTTCCTACTTAGAAACTTCAAATCCGATTTTCTACACAGGTGGTCCTAGCCAGCTGGTACCGCATATACACAGGGGTAATGGATTTTATTGGTGTTCAGACCAAGACATGCTGGACTGTAAACAGAGGAGAAAGGCTTAGTCCTGTTGAAAGCTGTGAAGGCAAGTTTTTTTCCCTAGTGTATTCTTGTGGTTTTTGCATGTATTTTGGAAACAGTAATGTTAATGTGTGTTCATCACTGGCTCATTTTCATTTAGTTAAGCCTGTGTTTTAGTGAATTTTGCAACATAGTGTATGAAAAACATGGAAAAGAAGGGATTTTGTGCTATGCCCCGTAGAGGTATAGCACAGAACTTGCAGCCCAAGTGGTGAGGACTAGGGGCTTGTCTTCACTGCAGCACTAGCTTGAGCTATAACTTGAGTTTTGCCTCTAACCCAACTCTCGTCCATGTGCAAAAATGTCTAGCTTGAGCTAATGGGCCTGTTGAGGATGAGTTGAAGCTGGGACACGGGAGTTGGTAATGTACTGGGCATGCAGCAGCTTGAATTGTAATTCCTCCGCTGCTATCCAAATTAGACTGTGTAAGTGAAGTGTTTTGCATTTCGGTCTGTCTCACTTGAGCTAGGCTAGCTTGAGTGCAGTAAATCAAGTGTACAAACTCAAGCAATTGTTCTAGTGGAGGTAAGCCTAAATTGGTTTTAAGCCATCTTTGAGCCCTTCCAATTCTGGGTTGCTCGGAGGGCCACAGTGGCCACTGGCATAATTTAGACAAGCCCTCGGGGCTGTATAAGTTAGGCAGCCTTGCTGGGCTGCCGTCTGGGTGACAGTGCTACTCAAATATCTGCAGTGCTGCGGCCCTGCCCTCTACAAGTCCCATATGCCAGAGCTTGTGAGGGAGTTTCAGAAGGCAGCCTTCCATAGTGTCTTCCGTAGTGATTGCACTGGGCGAATCCTCTCCTGGGGTAATCTGGATCTTTCACCCAGTTTAAATGGGCTGGAACGGATGTGAGGATCTTGTATCTGATCTTTAGTTCCCAGAGCTCAGGCATGACCAACTGCTATTTCATATGTGGAGGAATGTGCTTGATAATGTGTGATAAAGCTTTTTATAATATCTTACATACAAAAGGTGTCTTGTAAAACAACCTTTTCATTTTGTCTCTTGAAATTTAGAAATATGCTATAATTTAACTGAGTTGTATAAATAAGATTCACATTTAATTAAAAAAATCTTTAAAAACTTTTATGGAACATACTTTAAATCCAGTTTTACCTTAAGAGGTATATCCTTTGTTTTTAAAATAAATGTAAAGGTTAAAACTACTGGTAATGGAATAAAAAGTTAATGGATTAGTTTGAATTGTAACTGTATATTGTGGGGTTTGTGCATGTATGAACTGCCCTCTATTAAGAGAATCCTAATTCACTTCTGCTGTAACTGTTTTAATACTTCATTATTCTTAAGCTACCCCAAAAAATAATGACTTCATTCAGAGTCAGAACAATTCACTTTTTATCTAACTTAATCAAAAGCAAGATATTTTGAATTATTCTCCTGACTTCTTTAAGAGGCAATATGTTGATGCTTATCAGGGGTTCCATACATGCCAGCCAATTCATCCTCAGTTTTGAAGAAATTCCCTCCTAGGTTTTCAGCATGTAGGGAATAATGTCTGCAGACCCGGGTGTCACCTTTTCCTTGCCAGCCTTTATGTATTGAATATGGCTCTTTAAATTGACTTTATTGTGGGACTTCTTGTTTTTGTTTTTGAATGCTTTGAGACTGCATCTGATTCACACATTTTCTGGTGGTGCAGTCCTCTTACCTACTCCCTCAGTTAGCTTGGAGATATCAAAAAATAAATTATTTTTCTCTATTTACATGTAGTAAGGTAACATGCTATATAACACATTATTCTGACTTTTTGTTGCTAGAATAGATACACATTTAAAATCTGTCCTATTAGTATATTTTTGTCAATATCTGTATGTTAATTGCTGTTTGTTAGGATTGGGAGACCCTGCTTCCTTTTATGTTGCTGTGATCTTTCTTTTAAATGGACTAATGATGTCATTGTTCTTCATATATGGCACATACCTAAGGTAAGACAGTTGAGCAGCAAGTAATTTCAATGGTAACGAGTGTTTATGGTTTTTAGTAAAATTATAGTGCTTGTAAACATTTTAATAACTTTTTAAAGTAAAAATGTAAGTGTTTTTTGGGATATTCAGTGAAGCAGTTATTTTGGGGCATTATTTACATGTCAGTATTAAACATATAGTGTTTTTGTAGAAGAGCTAGTTAATCCCTTAATTTGGATTACAACTAAGCAAATCTGAGAAGATAAAAATATCAAGGAGGTAGTATTTGGAAATCAGTAGGAAGGATAGTATAAATTTTTAATAACATTGACATCATGAACTCAGTTATTAATGTAGAAAATGTTATTAACATTTTCTTTTTAAATGTAGATGTTCAGTTATGCCTCTAATGAAACCCAGAGTTTTATAGTGCTTTGGTTGCAGCTATACTGTGCTTCTTTGATTTTAAACTTCTTATCTATAAACCATAAGACTGAGGTTTCTTCCCTTCTCAATTGGTGCAATCTTACAGAAACAAAGAGTTGCATACATTTCCTCTTGCTGTGAATTTCTGTTTTTATTTACAGTATCTATATGCAATTCAGGAACCAAAATGGACTCGGTCACACTTTTTTTCTGTTGAACATGATGTACCAGTACTTCCCTTTATTCTCATAAGACTGGTGCAAAAACAAATAATAATAGAGTGGGCAATGGATGAATTGGTCTCTTACTTTATAAATACCATGCTTCTCTGCTCTTTGCTTTTCTGCTTCTGTACTCTTCTGAATATGGGCTGGTGGTATAGAGATAATGACTTGTTACACTCTGGGCACTCAAATTTCAGGGGTGATATTGTATCTCCTGTGCTATGGAGGGTTCATCTGATTTTTTGTGTGTGTATATTTGATATTCTAATGGATGAATGCAGCATGTTCTGAGACAACAGATAACCTTTATGTACAAGGGAGGCCTTTTAGGTTGAGGATACTGCAGGCAGTTTAAAGTGAAATCCGCATTTTATTTTAATGTCACTCAAAGCTCATTATTGTCTTTGAAGTTCTCAGTATTTTGTCTCCTGAGTTGGACAGTGCTGGATGTAAATTCTCAAATTAGAGATTTAGTAGTGAAATTAAATAGTTTAATTTAAATACAAGCCACCTGCAGTTCAAGTTGTATAGAAGTTTAGATTTCTGAAGTGTTTTCTATTGAGACACAAGATAGGGTAGGTAATATCTTTTATTGGACCCAGTGCTGCTTTTGAGCTTCAAAAAGCTGATCCTCCGGATTTTCCATTGTCATCTGTAAACGACGGTGGTATATCATTAGTGTAAAAATAATGCCAGAGAGAAAATAGGGTGCTCCTATTTTCCCTCTCCCATAATATAAGAATAGGAGATCATCCAATGAAATAAAAAAGCAACAGACTTAAAACTGATGAAAGGATTTTTTAAAACCTCCCCCTTTCCCTAATCAACTAACCAATTGAATTAACTGCTACAAGATATGGAAGCTAATAACTCGGTAGGATTAGACATTTTTATTGAGTATGAGAGCATTTATACTCTCATATATACATTTACACATACATATAAAAAAATGAAAGGTAAAGATGAAACGAGGGTTTAATTTCCTTATTCAAGGCATAAGCCAACCAGTAGCTGCTAGGGATTATGAAAAAAACTTCCCTATGGCAAATGATTCCATGAATGTCCATTAGGGGTTTCTTGTTTTTTCCCTTGAACCGTTTGTTGTTGTCCAGTATCCTGTCTCTGACAATGGGCTAGAAAAACAATTGGTAATCTAGTATGGCTATAATTATTGACTACTTGGAAATTGAGGGGGCTTAGACATCTGAGTGAGACATAAAAAATCAAAGGGCAGCATGACCATTTTGAAGTGATTAGAATTAGATTGGGTGAGGTAATGTCTTTTATTACACCAACTTCTGTTGGTGAGAGAGACAAGCTTTCATGCCACATAAAGCTCTTCTTCAGGTCTGTGTGGCATGAAAGCTTGTATTGCTCACCAACAGAAGTTGGTTCAATAAAAGATATTACTTCACCCACCTTGTCGCTCTAATATCCTGGGACTGCGCATGGCTACAACTATACTGCATAAAATCAGGTTGGCAGTTTTGGCTAATCAGTGATAGAGGAAGTGAGAGCAGAAGCTCACTTAACCACTAGAAGAAGCTTATAAATCTTCCTCCATGCTAACTTCTCTTAATGTAATAGTTCGCAGGAACCTTCTGGTTGTAGGATGCAAATGATTCTGTTTGTAGGGTGCTCCAGAACACGAAGAATCTGGAAGGAACCTGTTGATTTTGTTCCCGCTGCCCCAGCAGTGAGATCTCGGCTTTCTATCTTTGCTGCTCTTTCAACTGACTGAAGAGTTGCTTTTGGATAATGAAAAGTACCTACTCTAGTGCCTGTGCAATTTGTAGGCGTTTCAGTCCTTCTACACCTCTAGCCAAAGTGGTGAAGAACAGAAAATTTAGGCCTTGTGTTGTACCTCAGGGAGCTACCACTGTTTGCCCTACTCCTTCCGCTACCTCTAAACTATAGCTTATTTTCTTGTTCTTCCTACTACCTTGAATAATTAATTATAAATAATTTTTCTTTAATTAAATGTCTCTGTACTTCAGCGTATTGTATCTAGGAAGTCAAAATAGCAGTCCCTTCATTGCAACCAGCAAGTGGCCAACTGAAACTTACCTAATCAGGTCTTCGTTATTTCAGTACAGAACACTCATAAATGTGACTTAATTAATTAAATAATAAAACTAAAATTTCTAGGTTTCAGAAACCTGTAGTATGCAGCTTCCAGCTGAAGGGCCTATTTTTAAGTCAGAAAAAAATTAATTTTGTGCCTCTGCTCCTTCAACACTAGCCCAGTATTTGATCAAGAGATCCACAGTGTGTATAGTTCCTATCCTTTTATATGTGCATGTGTGTGCTGTCCCCCTTCTGCAACTTGTGTGTAGTAGTATGGCATTGTTATCATCAAACCGCCAAGTTAGCAAAGTCTTAAGTATAACCTTCCTTCTCCTCCTCCAAGTAACACCCCCAACCCTCTTCCCAAACAAACCCTGTAATAACTTTTTCCAGGAAAAGATTATGCTTACTGGCAGTTCAATACTATTCTGTGCTTCAGTATTCTAAACTGTCTTCCCATGTGGTAAGCTAATGCTCCCTTTAGGCATATATAATGCTACAGCATGCATAATACAATTAAGAGTTGGTACTTACACTTCAAGTGAAAAAATTCTTTGTTATAGTTATATCATGGATTGTTTACCTTCAGTATATTCCTTAAACTATATTTATCTTTACTTTCCATAGTTCTTATTTTTAATTTGTTCCTGAAGGCAGCACCTTTGTTTCTTTGTTAATAGTGTGTTTTTGATCTTGACATTTTTAGTATTAATATAACGGAAAGGTTACATCTTAGATACAGCATTGCGTAGTTCTGTAGGAGATTTATTTTTGTGACTGTTTCAGCACCCTGTTGATTTGTTTAATCCTCCACACAGAGTTGTACCCGGAACTCATTGATTCTGCATGACTTACAGTTTTTGGTGGCTGCAGGATCTCTGAGTATTTCTCTGATTTTTTTTTTTTAACCCCTAACCGTTTCTTCAGAAGTTTTTTTTTTAAACTGCATTATTTTGTTGCTTTTTATTGTAACAAAAATAAACTAGAATTTATTCTTTGTTTGATCAGCATAATTAGTTTTTGTATTTTAAAAATGTATACTGCATAACTTAAGAGCTAGTTAACAATTGGACAGAAAGTATGCAGACTAAAAACACAAAGGAAAATACTTTTACAGTTCTTGAACACAGTTTACACTTTAAATGTTTAATATCCTGACCATTTTTACAATAATTTCCCAAGACATAAGTCCATGTTGTAGACTAATTTTGCAGCTTGCAAAATTTCATTTTTAAAATCAGCAATTTTTTGAGCTGTTTAGGACAAAATGCTTTCAAAATAACTACTATTTATTCTTGGGCAGGTTTTGTACTCTTGTAACTTAAAAACTCCAAAACTATTGTAAATAGTACTGGTTTAAAAGAAAATTACTCCAGAGCTAAACCTTCCTATCGCTCTTTTGACCCACAACACAATTATATTTCTGAATTATAAGGCAGTAAACCCTATTTTCTAGTAAAATGAAGACCTTATTACTGTACAACAACACAAGAGGGCACTGCTGTAGTACTTCCATATTTCCAGAAAAACAGAACGTACTATCTAGCAGCTTAACACTGTTTTTGTCCACATCAGATTATTTTTTAGTCAGTCTGTTTCAGGACTAGATTTAGTACTAAAGTTTTGGTGTAACATTCGCCTACTTTAAAACAAATTTGTTTGGTCTTTAGGTTTGTTCTAGTGGCTTAATGTGAAGATGATTTTTGTCAAACAATACCACGCTAACAAAGTCATCAAATTTTAGTATGGTGTTTATTTGCAGCAACTTTTTTTTTTTTTTTTTTTTGGGAGAAATAATAGAGGGAGTATAGAGTAACAAAATTATAACATAAAAGCAACAAGTATGGGGACCGTTCATGGTCTAGTTGAAGGTACTGGCAACAACTCACATTGACCTCAATGAAGGAGGCCTGGGCTTCTGTCACCAAAAAGTTTGATCTAGGTATTACCACTCTACTGTAGCTCACTGTTCATATTAATATAATACACTCACATATTAGTCAATTTATGAGGAAATTCAGCGATCAATGACTTTTGATATTCTGGGTGAGAAATTTCTTTGTTTTTCGGCTCAACTTCGTAACACTGGTATCAGGAGTCCTTTTCAACACCCAGAAGGAAGTGTCCCTCTTAGTTGAAACATGGTTTGTGTTTGGACACACAATACTCCTTTCCTTTCTGACTATTCTGCATTGGCAATTTTCTTTTGAAATATTAGTGTTCTGTTGGACACTGGCAGTTTCTCTGGAATATAGCAGATACTTGTTCTTGGTGCATCAGTGAACTGGGTGTTGCACTATGAGT